TGATGTTTCCTGCCCGTTTCCTGACTCTGGAAAGTCCTGAATGGAGGGCAGGTTGGCACCGATGATCTTTTCTGCAGTGCTGACTGATTATAGCTGTGGACTAATGCAAAATAGAAACCGATGGACTGACATTGAGTCATAGTTTGTTTATTTTCATTCATCCACCTACTGAATGTACAAATGAACAAAATGCTGTTTCTGGTGGTCCAGTGTGCTAAAAACAAAGTCACAACAGTCTCATTCAACTAACAAGACAAGACACTATTAAAACAAAAATTAGAGATGGCATTTGTTTAATGCTGCAGTCCTACATTCATTAAATTATTAAACCAAGCAGCCACCATCACCAATGTAAACACGCGGCCCTCTGTCATCTCGCTGGAGGCTTGCGCTGTGACAGAAAATGGTGCTTCGGGACACTGATGATGCAGGTCTGTGTACAGATGTACCCACCGTAGTGCCTGGTCCTTTTGATGAGGTACATAAATGTGCCTATTGAGCAGCTTGGTTCAGATGAAATTTAATAAGCTGATCCATGCTTGAGTGTTGCACTGAGAGAAGCCGACTGTACTGCTCAGAAAGAACAGAAGAAGAAAAGTGTTGCAAGGGAACGTAAAAGTAGTCCTCTTGTGAGCCTTCGGAGCCACCGTAAATATGAGCCCCTCAACAGTGTAAACACACTATTTACTATCCATCCATCCATCCATCCATCTTCATCCGCTTATCGTCGCAGGGGGAGCAGCTCCAGCAGGGAACCTCAAACTTCTCTCTCCCGAGCCACATTAACAAACTCTGACTGGGGGATCCTGAGGCGTTCCCAAGCCAGTTTGGAGATATAATCTCTCCACCTAGTCCTGGGTCTTCCCCGAGGCCTCCTCCCAGCTGGACGTGCCTGGAACACCTCCCTAGGGAGGCTTCCGGGAGGCATCCTCCCTGATGCCCAAACCACCTCAACTGGCTCCTTTCAATGCAAAGGAGCAGCGGCTCTACTCTGAGCTCCTCGCGGATGGCCGAGCTTCTCACCCTAGACACCAGCCACCCGCCTGAGGAAACCCATTTTGGCCGCTTGTACCCGCGATCTCGTTCTTTCGGTCATGACCCAGCCTTCATGACCATAGGTGAAGGTAGAAGCGAAAATCGACCGGTAGATCGAGAGCTTTGCCTTATGGCTCAGCTCTCTTTTCGCCAACTATTTACTTTAAAAATGTAAAAATAAATATCACAATATCTGTCAAAATGTACCCACTGTCATTTTTTTGGTATATGGTTCAGATTTACTTTATAAAGCTGAACTAATTAAACTATTTTTTCTGCAAGAGCTTATAACAATATTTTGTTTCCTTCCAGGTCACTCTCAGTTAATTGGTTCTCCTCGGCCAATAGTGGCAAAAGTTGGCGATGACGTCATCTTGCCATTTCATCTGCAGCCTGCAGTGGATGTTGCTGCCAAGACTTTTGAGTGGGCAAGACCAGACCTGAACCCCAGATTTGTTTATGTGTGGCGTGCTGGTCAGGACATTGTAAAAATAAAAAATCCTTCCTACAAAGGAAGAACAACTCTGTTCACTGATGAACTGAAGCACGGAAACATTTCACTGAAACTCTCCAAAGTGAAACTTTCTGATGAGGGGAGATACAAATGTTACATTCCAGATATGAACACAGACGCCTCCGTTGAGCTTGTTGTTGGTGAGTAGATACATGATGTATGTGTAGTGCAGTTTGGTGTGTAGTCTGTGCAGCGGATCCAGTGAATAACTGAGGTATCAAAACAGCTTTCAGCCATTCATGTTGGGACATGGACAGTTCAGCTACAGCCATCAAACACCAGTTTAACGGTTACATGTTTACAGAACAGCTAAATTGCACATGTTCTGGCAGGAAATATTTTCCCTGTTTCTTAAGGTAGTTTATATAAATATAATACATACAGTCATAAAATAGACACAATGTGATGTGACTAACTTTATGAAAGACTTTCAAATAGATGTTAGCTGATCCTTCATTAAGCCCTGCACCCCAATTACTGTGCTACAGCTGTCAGGCTTTAGATCTACTGTCACAGACTATTGATGTGGTTTACAAGAATGGTGGAAGCAGATTTATTTTTCAAAATAAATATGTGAAACAACTTGTCCTTAATTATTCTTTTTTTTATTATTTACATCAAAGATTTAAAGAACTGTTGTGCCTGGCCAGATCTCACAGTTCGCCTCCAAAATCTTGACACATAGTGACTCTCACTACAACCCCATTTACAGTGGGACATTAAGCTAAACGCAACCATCAGAATGTAACAAGAGGAATGAGGTTCATCTTCACAATGTCAATACTAACATGCTGACGTTTAGCATGGTTTATATTTGACCTTGTTGTAGTTCAATGTGTTAACATGTTAACATTTGATCATTTGGACCAAACAAAGTGCAGCTGAGGCTGGAATCTCATTAGTTTTGTAAATATTTACCAAAGTATTGGACACAATGAAATGTTGTAGATTTACATTTATACATCTTTTAAATTATTAATGCAGTCTTTGTAAATCTGAACTGTATTTTAATTGTTCCTCTTGCTCAACATCAGGGGCCGTCTCCTCACCTGTCATCAGTTTAGCAGGGATTGACAGACACAAAGGGGGAGTGGTGTTACAGTGTGAGTCTGCAGGCTGGTATCCAGAGCCTGAGGTGTTTTGGCTGGACGGTGAGGGAAACCTCCTCTCTGCTGGACTACAGAGACAGTCAGAGGTCCTGATGACCTCTATACTGTCAGCAGCAGAGTGACTGTGGAGAAGAGACACAGCAACAACTTCACCTGTAGAGTCCAACAGAAGGACATCAACCAGACCAGAGACACTCACATCCAGGTTCCAGGTAGAAATGATTGATGATGTGATCAATGTTTTAGTTTCAAATAGCTGAAGTCTAGTGTTCAATAAACACCATGTTATTTTGTGTTTTATCGTTTCAGATGATTTCTTTGAGGTCCAGTCCAGTTTGTCCCCCATCACGGTTGGATTGGCTGTTTGTTTGGTTGCTTGCATCATGATCATTTTGTTACTTATCTTTTCTGTGTGGAAATGGAGACAGAACATAATCAGTGAGTACCAAATTATTTGCAGATTAATGGGACATATTGATATGATTTGTGGGTGGCAATGGAGCAGTGGATAAGACACATGCCTTTGGTGTGAGAAACCCTGGTTTGATTCACCATTGAGTCCCTGAACAAGACACTTGACCCGTCCTTGCTCTAGAGGTGTGCGACCTCTGTCGTATATAGCGATTGAATGTCGCTTTGCATAAATGTAGTTGTGTAAATTTAATTTGATCAAAATATCAGTAGTTTTTAAATGTGGTGTTTTTTCTATTTAATTTCCAGTCAGTCAAATTGTCAGGTGTCTTATTTTAGACTCAAATGTCTCATATGCTGTGATGCAAGAACATGTCTTTAATACTTTAATTCTACTGCCTGTATTTTCACACAGACTGCAAGAGAAGCCACAGGGATGAAACTGATGAAGGAGAACAGAATGACCGCTTTAAAAGTAACAAAACTGAAGTTCAGGTTAACACTGAAGCAGAAAGAGAGCAGCTCATGACAGATGAAACAGTGCCAACGAAGGATTTGAAGAACAGAAAAGGGGAAAGGGAGAAAACACATGTAAATTCACAACTTATTTCTGCTGCCCCTCAGTGGCTAAAGATGCAAAAGAGCAGTGACTTGGCTCCATCCAACTGGAAAATTGCTGCTTAAATCTCACAGTTGCTGTTTTATTTATCTGGTCAGAGGGAAGAGAACAGAAAAAGTGTGCTTAAATACTTTGTTTGCTAAAATCAGGTGTTTTTGAGGCAAAGTCTTTGTTCCTGAACAGAGTTATTAAACTTCAATAATTGTAGTATTTGATGAACAAATAATTCTTGTTGAATTAATTCAACAATCTGTTCATTTGCACAATTTTATTTGCCAGTTTATGCTGTTGTGGTACTCCCCTCCCTTCCCTGTCTAATGTAGCCTATTCATCTCTTATTGTTCTAATACCACCTTCCTAATAGTGCATTTTCAGGTTCTCTATATGTTCTCTATTTATATAAACATGTGTTTGCCACACACAGTAAATCTAATACAGAAATGAAGACAGCATAACATCACAACAGACATGATCTTTCTTAAACTGACCAGAATACTCATATAAATATGCAAAGTTACTTTAAACTGTATTCAGCTTCATCTTCAGCACAACAGAGCCTGCAGGGAAACAGGGCCCAGGTCAAAACAATGGTCCTTGAAGTAGACTTGATTTTCTTTCTGTCTTATTCTTCATTATAAATCAAATTTCCCACATGTCTAAAGAAAGAGAACATATCGCTCTAATCTTGTCTTTCTTCATCTTTGCTCTTCCCCAGCCTGAAGAAAAACTAGCTGAAACTGAAAAGCAGCTCCAGGATGAGAAGAGGAGGAGGGAGGAAGCTGAAAAACAAAGGGAGAGCATACAGAAAGAGGTTTTTCCTTTCACTTTAATCTCTCTCTATTTATCTAAACATCTTCCCTCTATATCTTCTTCTAAGACTATTGTCTTATTGATGAATGGAAACATCTCCACTGACTTCTGCTTTCAGTTTTCTCATTAAATCTGTCTCACAGATACATCCATTCTTCTGTTGGAGCTTCCTCTGTTTCATATTAATGAAAAATATCCAGGGACCAGTAACTTTACCATGGGAATGAAGAAAAACACTTGAGGCAGAAAGACTGTCTGGTCATTAATCAGTTTTCTCCACTTACTTACAGTCAAAGACAGAACTGTGACTTTGTTAATCAAAGGTAGAAAACTGCTGCTTTAAAAATGCTGCACAAGTCACATGGAGTAAATTTCTGTCACGTCTTATTGTTTCTAACTCACATACTTTAATAAGAAAAAATGTCTCTCATCTTCAGTGTTTATCTTCTCTCTCTTCAGGTCGAGAAGCTCAAAGAGGAGAAGCAGAGGATGAGGACGAAAGAAGCAGCTACAAAAGCAGCTGGCGACCAAGACAAAAGAGGTTCATCTGTCATTGATATTGATTTGTTTCCACAAACCTATTTGTTTGTTTTTAGTTTGAAATCATACAGTTTATTTTTATTTTATTTTATCTGGTAAGAGGGAAGAGAACAGAAAAAGTGTGCTTAAATACTTTGTTTGCTAAAATCAGGTGTGTTTGAGGCGAAGTCTTTGTTCCTGAACCGAGTTATTAAACTTCAATAATTGTAGTATTTGATGAACAAATAATTCTTGTTGAATTAGTTCAACATTCTGTTCATTTGCACAATTTTTTTGCCAGTTTATGCTGTTGTGGTACTCCCCTCCCTTCCCTGTCTAATGTAGCCTATTCATCTCTTATTGTTCTAATACCACCTTCCTAATAGTGCATTTTCAGGTTTACTATTTGTTCTCTATTTATATAAACATGTGTTTGCCACACACAGTAAATCTAATACAGAAATGAAGACAGCATAACATCACAACAGACATGATCTTTCTTAAACTGAACTGAATACATTGCCGAGTATAAAGCCTTTCTTTCTGTCAGTTACACTTTGTGATGTATAGAAATATATATCATGGATTACAGGCAATTAAATATGCACAACAGAGCCTGCAGGGAAACAGGGCCCAGGTCAAAACAATGGTCCTTGAAGTAGACTTGATTTTCTTTCTGTCTTAGGCTTCATTATAAATCAAATTTCCCACATGTCTAAAGAAAGAGAACATTTCGCTCTAATCTTGTCTTTCTTCATCTTTGCTCTTCCCCCAGCCTGAAGAAAAACCAGCTGAAACTGAAAAGCAGCTCCAGGATGAGAAGAGGAGGAGGGAGGAAGCTGAAAAACAAAGGGAGAGCATACAGAAAGAGGTTTTTCCTTTCACTTTAATCTCTCTCTATTTATCTAAACATCTTCCCTCTATATCTTCTTCTAAGACGATAGATTGATGGATGGAAACATCTCCACTGACTTCTGCTTTCAGTTTTCTCATTAAATCTGTCTCACAGATACACTTCTTTCTTCTTCTAATTGCTCATAATAAACCTCATGAGACAAGACGTGTGAGGGCGGTTTTGCTGGGGAGATGGGGACTGGACGCAAACACAGATGAAACAGACTTTTAATGCAAAGCTGAGCTGACATGCATGAGGATGGCAGGTCTGGGGAGGTTAGAGAAAGAATATGTTCTGATAGAGAGAGTAATGCAGAGGGCTGGGGAGGTGAGTGTGGCTGAAGAGACGGACAGGGGAGGAAACTCAGACAAGATGTGAAGCTTTTTAATCCACCACATGTATAAAGTAGCTTCTGATTATTTCAGGCTTATTCTTCACAACACTGATATGTTTATGTTTTCAGTTACCAGTAACTTTATTTATACCAGTCGAACAGAACATACTAGTCTCCCTGAACAACTGACAGGTGTTATTGAAAAATGTATATCAAGACAGTTTAAATATCATTCTGAATCAGTGTGCATGGCATCAGTTTGCTTAAAAAAAACTTACTCATCGTGTTTTTGTTCACCTCTCCGTTTCCTTGCAGAATGAGGAAAAGCTTCATGTTGAGCAGCGGAGGTTTCTTTCACCTTAATCTTTCAGTTTCTGTTGAGATGTCTCCAGATTTGCTCATGTTAACGGTCAGACTGTCGCTTCCTGCAATAAAACACTACTGATTAATCAACATCTGTCTGTCTGTTAGAATGAGAACATCAAAGAGGCAGCTGACAGGAACAAAGAGGAGCTGAAGGAAACTCAAGAAAAGTTGGAAAAAAGGAATGCTGAGAACAGGGATCTGAAGAAAGAAGTACATACACACACAAAATCCCTGTCTGCACATGTGATGCTTCATTGATAACTGCTGAGGTGTTGATTCTGTTAAACTGAATGAACAGCTGAGTCAGCAGCAGCAGGAGTACACATTCACAGTGTCTGATATTTGTGTTGGAGCTTCCTCTGTTTCATATTAATGAAAAATATCCAGGGACCATGGGAATGAAGAAAAACACTTGAGGCAGAAAGACTGTCTGGTCATTAATCAGTTTCTCCACTGACTTACAGTCAAAGACAGAACTGTGACTTTGTTAATCTAAAGGTCCAACTAGAAAACTGCTGCTTTAAAAATGCTGCACAAGTCACATGGAGTAAATTTCTGTCACGTCTTATTGTTTCTAACTCACATACTTTAATAAGAGAAAAGTTCTCTCATCTTCTGTTTTTTATCTTCTCTCTCTTCAGGTCGAGAAGCTCAAAGAGGAGAAGCAGAGGATTGAGGACGAAAAGAAGCAGCTACAAAAGCAGCTGGCGACCAAGACAAAAGAGGTTCATCTGTCATTGATATTGATTTGTTTCCACAAACCTATTTGTTTGTTTTTAGTTTGAAATCATACAGTTTATTTTTATTTTATTTTATCTGGTCAGAGGGAAGAGAACAGAAAAAGTGTGCTTAAATACTTTGTGTGCTAAAATCAGGTGTGTTTGAGGCGAAGTCTTTGTTCCTGAACCGAGTTATTAAACTTCAATAATTGTAGTAATTGATGAACAAATAATTCTTGTTGAATTAGTTCAACATTCTGTTCATTTGCACAATTTTATTTGCCAGTTTATGCTGTTGTGGTACTCCCCTCCCTTCCCTGTCTAATGTAGCCTATTCATCTCTTATTGTTCTAATACCACCTTCCTAATAGTGCATTTTCAGGTTCTCTATATGTTCTCTATTTATATAAACATGTGTTTGCCACACACAGTAAATCTAATACAGAAATGAGGACAGCATAACATCACAACAGACATGATCTTTCTTAAACTGAACTGAATACATTGCCGAGTATAAAGCCTTTCTTTCTGTCAGTTACACTTTGTGATGTATAGAAATATATCATGGATTACAGGCAATTAAATATGCACAACAGAGCCTGCAGGGAAACAGGGCCCAGGTCAAAACAATGGTCCTTGAAGTAGACTTGATTTTCTTTCTGTCTTAGGCTTCATTATAAATCAAATTTCCCACATGTCTAAAGAAAGAGAACATTTCGCTCTAATCTAAAAAGGGTGGTGATGGTGCAATGGGTAAGATGCCTGCCTTTGGTGTGAGAGACCTGGGTTCAATCTCCCTCTGTGACCCATCCACCATTGTGCCCCTTAGCAAGACATTTAACCCCTAGTTGCTTCAGAGGCGTGCAACCTCTGACATGTATAGCAATTGTGGATAAAAGCGTCAGATAAATGTAATCTTGTCTTTCTTCATCTTTGCTCTTCCCCCAGCCTGAAGAAAAACTAGAACTAGGACAGGGGAGGAAACTCAGACAAGATGTGAAAACTGCTGTTTTCTGTAACATGAAAAGTTAAAAATGCTGCACACCTACCATGTCTTAATGTTTATTCTCACACCTTCAATTAGAGAAAATGTCTCTCATCTTCTGTTTTTTATCATCTCTCTCCTCAGGTCGAGAAGCTCAAAGAGGAGAAGCAGAGGAGTGAGGACGACAAGAAGAAGCTGCAGAAGGAGCTGGAGACAAAGACAAAGGTTCATCTTTCATTGATACAGATTTTTTTCCCCACCCACATATTTGTTTGTTTTAATTCTCACAATTATGGCTTTATTTTATCTTAAGCTTATTCAATGTATAACAGCAGAAACCACTCTAAGATTTTGGCTTTACTTCCTCATTGTTTGATCCCACAGACACCCTCTGTTGTGTGTATAAATTATAACAATTTTAAAATCAACCACTTTCTTTCCTTCCATTCTTTTTTCTTATGACCTCAAAACATAAAGAACTGTATTCCAGTAGTAACCATTTGATGAAGGTGGCAAAACCAAATCAAATATATAAATATAAACTATATATATAGTCCTTTGTCATTCTTAATGAAAAATTCATGAAATAAAAAGTCTCTATCTCTCCTCTCCCTGTTGAAGGAGCAGCCTCACCATGAGCAGAAGATAGCAGAGGAAGCTGAGAAAAACCTGGAGGAGGTTAGTCTTTTCACCCAAATCAATCTTTTTTATCTTCTCTATGTGACACTGATTTGTTACTGAGACCAAGCTGATCAAACTAGCCATGAGAGCAAATCTGAGACACTGATTGACCATTTGTGAGACTGATCAGACCCAAGTGTCACACACACACACACACACACGGATACAGGTAGCACATACAATGCTTAGTTAGTTAGTCTTGAATGACTAAACTGTGTGTGTTGTCTCCCTCTCAGCGCGATAACACCAGTACTGCCAATCAAGGACCATGAGGAAAGGTTACTGTCCATCACACCAAAATGCTGATCAGTAAATAATGCTGTAACATTAAACATCAGGAACAGCACGACTCAGATCTTCCTGTAAAAACACATGTTGTAGTGACGTCCAGTGAACACGAGATCACATCACATCCTGATCTGAAATCAACAAAATGAGACTTTTTTTATTAATGTTGAATCAAATCTTGTTACATTTTTGTTTTTCTGGTATTTTCAACAATTCAGAACACTTTTTGTCTGAAAGTTCTGAACTCAAGACAAAGACTAAAATAATTTAAACTCTAAACCAAAGTGTGAGTTTATGTAACTCTGAAACCTTTTTATTTATTTTTGCTGAATTGAAAATGTATATTAAAAAGTAGAATTTTTTTTGTTATCCTTTGTCGTGTTGTTATTCAGTGTTTTATGTCAATTTAAGATTCTCCGTTCCATGTTTGTGTAATAAAGAGATAAAATGCCATAAATTCAAATATGCTTTTTTCAGATAAAACTTTTTATTATATATATAAATATACAAATTTGATTTATGTGTGATGTTGAGTGATGTTTGTACATCTCTTGACATTTTGCTAGATTATTTGTGCTACAGGATATGTAAATAACTGAATCTCTTCTCCTCTAACAAGTGATTAAAGGGAGAGGGATTTTTTAAATGGGGCTGTGTGAGGTGCTTATCCATAGTCGGTCAGCGTTTCCCCAGTTTGAAGAAGTATAGAGTTGTACCAGCGTGGAAGCTAAGCAATCACTGCTGTGGACAGAGTCAGCAGCAAAATGTATTTTAGCCTCTTAATATTTTAAAGGTCGCCACTCCCCTCCTCCTGTGTAGGATAGCTATGGTGGCCGATGTAGGACAAAAGATGTCATCGTCTGAGATAGAGAGAGGCCAGTCAATAAATGGGATTTCTTTTGATGGATATATTAAGACTTGTATTTACTTGTAACCACATGTTATTGTGAATATTATTGTTACTTGTTCACAAATAACAGCAACATCAAGAAATGTCTACATGATGTTGCAGCCTCCTGTAATACATAATTTTACCGTATTATAATCATGCATTTTGCTACATCTTGGAAGGGTTGGCTCATCAACAAACTGTATTGTATGAAACATAGGGCTACTAAACCATGTTTGTTTAGAGGTCTGTGTAGGAGCCATTTATGTTTATTGTTGGTATGATATTTTATTTTTGTTTAGATTTATTTATATTAGTATTTTGGACACTGGGTGGCAGTGATTAGATGCA